TTACTTTGAAACGTTCCTGTTTGAATTATTTTACAGGGAGCACATAGACCCTGTCCTGTCTCACTTATTTGTAAACTATTTTTTTAAAAGTCAAAGCCAGGGCAACAACTTAATACCTCCAATGCCTCAGCGTTAAACAAGTTTTATCTATTGATTATAGGTGGGTCTTCGGGCCCTTGAGTTGGAAACAATATTTTGCCTAGTTTTTAATCACTGTGTACACATGAGATTAATAAAACAGTGACTCATTAAAAAAAAGATAAAAATAAGATAGGAAATAAATAAGGTGCTCACCACAAAGGGAGAGGGACCCAGTGGGCCCTGTCCTTCGTCGTATTTTAATTCTCTCTCCAAAATCTTGAGGAAAATTTAGCATCCTATCATTGAAAATGCGAATGGTTATCTTACGTATCTGCAGTTTCTCTGTTGACTTAATAGTTGCTTCAATAACCATGAACTGAGTTGGTATGACTCCTGCTAATTCATGTGACCACCATTTCTATGAGTTCTGCAAAAGGGACAGAAGGACAGTATATGATGCCAGTCTATGATGATAATACATATGTCAGGTGATGCTAAAAACCCTGATGACCCAGAATTCCCTAGTGGCAAGGGTGTACCTGAATTTAGCATTACTTAGGAGAGTGACAGGAAATTCCCAACTTGTAGTGAGAAATTAATGAATTCTGTTGTGGGCCTGACATTCCAGACTTTCAGGCAGCTAGGTCAGGCTGGCATTTCGATATGCAAACCTACTGCTCCAAGGTATAAGGCCAGCTCTCAGGGGAGAGAGCGCAGGACTAGACGTACAATTCAATCTTAAACTTCTCTTTAGAGTCATGAAAGCTTAAGCCATGAGATAAATATTTATATGCTCTGGAATTTTTTAAATTAAAATAAAAATTCCAAAAAGCCATAATAGGGCAATATCCTCTATCACTCCTCAATCCAAAAAAATAAAATAAGACTGAGAATTCCAAAGAACCACGAATTTTCTCATTCTCCCAAAAGCCTATGGAGGAGGCCCTGCCTCTTAGTTATCCCATAAAAAGGTGCTGATATTATCTGTAAAGTTTTTATTCTTTAGTGGAAAATTCCGTACAACTGGATCACCAACATCAAAATAGACTCAAACCTTTACATGTCAAACAATAAGAACTAAGAAGATTCTGTCGTCCTGGAACCAGTTGTTCTTTCCCCTTAGCAGGCCAGAAACATCATGCGTTATATGTCATACGTCATGTACCAAAGGACATAACATTTCAGTTATGTAACTGATTGATTTGGGTCACTCACTGATAACTTTTCTCCACTCAAACCACCTTAAGTGTTTTCCCTAGTCACCTTAAGACAGGCTCAAAATCCTCAAACTTTCCTAATTTTTCATATCTACCCAAATGCGTTAATTTGATTATAGCATCATCATTTGGGACACAGGATAGGACATCATCGCACCCTTGAAATTGTGTAAAGGAAACTTGGCTGGATTTGGGAAAGCCACAGAAAAGCAGATGAACTACAAAGGACTCAGAGCCTTGACTAATGCAGGAAGACTTTCTAATTAATAATCTCCAATAAATCTTGTGATCCTGGCTTTCTCTAAGGGACTCAAAGTGCTTTACAACAATTATCAAATGAATCTCCCAAACATCCTTGCTCATCAGCAGGAAGAATGTACTATAATAGTCACTTAATGGATTGGAAAAACTGGCACCGCAGAAAGGTTAAGTGATTTACCAAATACTACAAAATGAGTCAGGATTAGAACAGAAAATAGTCCTCAATGACCCTGATCTGGTCACTGGTCCTAGCTGAATAAACACTTTTGTTTGTCTCTTTTAACTTTCTCCAGGTAAAAGCGACTAACAAAGGATTCAATCTTCTCCTCCCCATTGACTGCTCTCTGTTAGTTCTCTTTTGTTCCTCCTTATTTTAACTCCATAATAGTACTATGTAATATTTGAATAGCACTGTATCTCACAAAGTGCTTTTTTACTGTCATGACCTCCTCTAATTAAACAAAACCCATCTCTGCATTCTGCATTTCTCCTCTCCCTGACTCAAGCTGACCTGACATTGTCAAAAGGTACTGTGTATGAAATGCAGTAGGGAGAATGGGATTTCCTTTCAGCCGTTATTTTCATTATAGACACCGAATATAAGTGAGCGCACCACTTTCTGTCCTTCATTACTCAGCAAGCATTCATTAGGCACCACTGTGTGTGAGACAAAGCTACGAACTAAGGATATGAAGATAATTAAGACAGAGCTTAAATGAAGGAGCTTATCGTCTAAACATGGGAATAAATCACAAATGTATCACAGGTGCCTGGGCTGAAGTATGAACAAAATGTTCCTGGACTATCAATGAGGGAGAAATGAGTTCAGCTCGGGGGAATCAGGAAAAGCTACTGTGCTGAACTGCCTTCATTTGCCCCTTCCACCCCAGATCCTCTCTCCACCTGCTCTGGACTCCAGGGAGCTAATCACTGTGGACAGCATCACCAAGTCCCCCTGCTTGCCCTCCAGCTTTTGGCGGGGTTTGGCAATGGCTGGTTCCAGCAGGAGAGCAGAGGGCATGCAGAGGCAGGTTGGGGTGTTTATTTTCCCAGATTCTTCCCTGCCCAGTATTGACTATATTCCTCTATCAAAATCCAGCATGCCTGTCCTAAAGTCCTAAGTTCACTCTGGGTTGCTGTTCCCTTACTTACTTCCTCAGGCCCAGGGGTGGCAGGACTGCCTTCCTTTCTCATCCTAGAAAGCATCCCATCTTTGTATTATCGTAACCCTTTGTAACTCATTTATCCATTAAGATTTTCAAGCAGGAGAATGACTGAATGAGTTCAGAGTGGGGAGGTATTAAGTCAGGAAGACCTTGGAAGCAGGGGTCCTAATTAGAAGCTTGGGCTCCTGAATTCATGCTAGAACATGAATGAAGGCAATGGTGGCTCAGGATGGAAAAGAAAGAACTGACCATCAAGATATTCTTGGAAGTTGAATTGCTAGGCTCAACTGAACATTGTGGAGGGAGAGGGAAGATGAGTGAAGCTGAAGGTAACTTCTAGTCTATTTAAAAATATTTTTATTTAAAAAAACTAAAGCTATATTGGTAGGTGTGATATATTTTTAATTAAATATAATTCAGCAAAAAAATCCTACTGTTTATTAAGTGACCTGCCTGTCCATTTGGCCGGAAATCAATAGTCACCTTCAAGAGGGTTTGCACTGCAAACTGTGCCACCTGATCCCAGGTGTCGTCAGGTGCACTTCTCCCGCCATTGCCACATATCCAACTGCCAGAGCCTCTCGTGGAGGACGTTCAACCACATAAAGCCACGTGGGACAGCAGAGAAGAGCACACAACTTTGGAGTCCCATCTTGTGCCATACTTTAAAGTCAATGTTTTTTCACAGTCTGGATGCTGAAATTATCTATCATTCAGTCTAAATATACTGGAACACGGATAAGAGCATGCCACATTCCAGTATTTATGAGAATGGCGATAAACCTGGTGTTATCATGCCAAGTGCAATAAATCAGACAGAGAAAGACAAATACTGTATGATCTGATTTATACGTGGAATCTAAAAAAAAGCCAAACTTATAGAAACAGAGATCAGATTTGTGGTTGGGGGTTGGGGTTGGGTGAAGCTGGTCAAAAAGTCCAAACTTCTCGCTATAAGTTGAATTAGGTCTGAGGATGTAATGGACACGGTGATGCCTAGAGTTAATACCGTATTGTACATTTGAAAGTTGCAAGGAGAGTAAATCTTAAAAGTTCTTATCACAAGGAAAACCACGGTAACTAGGTGAGGTGATGGATGTTAACTAAACTTGTTGTGGTGATCAGTTCACCATACATAAATATGTATCAAATCATTATGTTGTATATCTGAAATGTGTGCAATGTTGGATGTCAGTTATATCTCAATAAAACCGGGGAGGGGGAGTCCTGTTATTGTTGCTTTCTCTCTAGGGCTCTGCTGCTCTTGGGGGAGGTCATCATGAGGATGTGACTGCCAGCTGACCCAAGAGCTGGACTTGGGCACTCTGAGGCTCCTCACCCCCTCTCCTGCCTTTGGAATACACATTCTGCCCACCGTTCCCATAGCTGGGACCATTTCAAGGATTTAGCCTTGAGAGAGTAATGTGTTATGGAGACTGTCTCCACTGTCGTGTGACTAAACCCCATTAAAGCCTCTGTATAAACCTTTAAGATTCTGGTGGGCAGGTGCAGAGATCTACTTGTCTTGCTGGTCACCCAAGACGTGGCTTATATGTAAGCTGCTTTGCTTATTAAAATTGCCACCTGCCAAACTCAAGTGGTCCTGCCTCTTTCTGAACGGCCTTTCCTTGCCCTCTGGGCATGGGGGCCAATTCCAGATTTCACCCAGGAAGCTCCTAAGGGTGCAAACCAACAGCTGCCCACTTCACATTTCTATTAACCTTAAAAACACATAGTGCAAACAAAGGCTTCTTGAATTTCATCATCAGACTACTTCCACGTGGCTGAAATTCCTAGAGAAGTGTTTGTAAATATATACTTATAAATAGATATGGACCTGGGTGAAAATGAAATCTTAGAGGTCATAAAAAATATATACTTTTTCTGGAATATTAATAATTAGGTATTACAACTATATTATAACTGCCTTCCATTTCCATTTCCATCAAAAAAGGAAATTGAACCTTAACAAATATTCATACTCAAATGAAAACAGAGGCTCAAATGACCTTAATATTTCTTCCATTTATGAAATCAGAGAGAAAGAATTTTTTAGGTCTTTATGAGAAAACCTGTTTCTTGAAATAAAAGTGCACTAAGTCGGAGGAAGCAGCAACTCCTCTGGAGGTACTCTGGCACAACACAACGTGGAAAATGTGAAAAAAACAAAGAATAACACGTGCAAAAATGTATGTAGAAGGATATTGACGACATTACTCATAATAGCTAAAAACCACGTACATTCACGTTCAACAATAGAAAACTGGTTTGGTACATATTCTTGAGCGCCAAGGAGACAGTTCTTTTTTGTTCAGCCTCACATAGCTGACCCTTATCCCAGCAGCACAGGTACGTCACCGGGTCACTAGGACAGTCTACTCTTTTCTCAAGGTGAACCTCTGTCTGGAGTGCTTTCTGTTCTTTGTTGTCTGCAGCCCTTGATCACTGCAAAGGTTTCCTTAGCATTGAATTTTGAAAAGAAAGATCAGTATCTCTTCCAGAAGGCACTGGGGCTTTTTATGCAAATGATCCCCCACCACTGCCATCTAATTCTGCATACCAAGAGAAAGGGCAAACTTGAAAAGTGACACAGCTTTTTAAATGTGGCTGAGTGAAAACATGTGTTTACATCTTCTGTTCTCTCTTAAAATACTGCTAAAATGATGTGTTGGGTTTTTTTTTTTTAATTCACCTGGGGAAAAAAAGGAGCTGAGGAGAGGAGACATCAGCAATCAAGCTGGATGCCAAAAAGTAGACAGTAAAGCTG